TAGGTGGTGTAGTGGCAGGTGGCGCACTATATCACATGCACGGACAGGGGTTCGAATCCCGCCGGGGCCAACCAAGCCTTCCATCCCTCCGGGGTCGGTGAGTTATGGAACCTGTGGTAGAACAAGGTTTTTATGCCCCTTCGCTGACCACGAAAAGAAAGGGACCCTGATGGCAAGCAATTCATCCCAGTCAGCACATCACAAGTAATGACAAAACTGTCTACGTCACGGCTAGTAATGGAACTGTATTCATACAACATTTTTAGAGCTTCCAGGACCCTGCAAAACGCACTGCCCGCCTTCAGCGAAGTGACCAACGCCCTGTCTGGAGAGATCTGGGGTTCTTGACTTTAGCAGGTGACAATTGCAACGGCCCTCAAGTGAAAGAAAGTAGGGGTAAGAGCTCGAACTTTCAGCAAGGTGCAAGCATAGGAGGGCAGTGTTTGTAAACAACCAACTTCAAACCTTCAAAGAGCAGGGTACGGAATAGAGATGAAAAGAGTGAGCTCAACTCCTTAAGACTGAAGCCCTTAAAAAGAAATGAATGATGGGGCACAGGGGAAGAGACTCGCTCGGCTCAAAAATCTTTATTTGAAGGATAGTTGAATGGTAGATTCGAGAGAAATTTGATGGCGATGGCCGTTTTATTGCCAGAGCAGCACACATTCCGGCTAATTGAACGCTTTTCGAAAAGTGGTGACGAAGTTGCGATGTACTGACTGGTAAGTCCTTCGCTGGTTAGTTGCAATTTTGAGTCCTTCTCACTTTTCTTTCCCACCAAACCCTTACGAAAGAGCCAAAAACTGTTACGGACGAGATGACTCGGTAGATGGGCAGAAATCGAGGGAACTTTGTTGTAGGATTTGCCACTCTGCATAAAACTATACCAGGAAGTGTACCGGAGGACCGACATCAGAGAAACATCAAGGCATCGGAGCTCATTCAGGTTTCAATGTTCTACAACAGGGGGAAGTGCTGATGGCTATCCAAGATATCTACGGCCTTGGCCTACGGCAGGTACTCCACTTTTGGGCAGAGTTCCAAGACGGTGCTTACAGAAGCCATGGTCAAGATAAACTGAATTCTCACTCTCTGATGATTACAAAAAGGCTTATGAATGACCTACCTTCCATGCATGGTTCAGGTGGTTATGAACACCAGAGCTGTGAGCCAACTGACTCTCCATGTCGTCGTGGATAGTCATCATTTGATTTTTAGTTCATTCCCCCGTGTCTGTCCAGTTCCCCAAACTATACAGCTCTTTGAACTACCAGTCAATGATGTCTTGACAATCATAAGTAAGTTCGCCGGGTAGAAAACGTCAATCATAAGATAACTGGGAAATGAAAAAAAAAGAAAAAGGAGTCAAAAGAAATTGGCTAGGCCGATGTACCTGTGAAGACAAATTTCTAGAAAGTTATCGCTATAGTCAACCGTTCTTACTGATTTACTCTTGTATTACGATTCTATCATTACTAGGCCTTTACTCAGATGGCTCCTCCTAATACGGTACCACGGTAAGAAAATTGGTTCACCTCACAGATTCAAAGGAGTACACGAGGCAACAGCTTACTTATGAGGCAGATAGCAGTTGTACAGCCAAAACCTAAGATGAATTTGATTTAGACGAGGTGCTAGATGAACATTACAAAAGGCTCGACTATGCGTAAAACAACACTGAAGGCGTCTGGTTGAATTGGTTGAATTCAACAGCTGCTCTCAATCTCTGCCATAGTCGTATGTATGCCCTAACGGAAGCTCTACACAAAGCATTTGTCGGGAGCTGCGCTACTAATTGTGCCCTGATGAGAACTTCCACAGCTCTCGCAGAAACTATCAAAGGAGATTCAGGCCGAGAGTCATCTGATATTCAGAGAAGCAGCAAAACTTTAACTGCATGCTGCAGAATGGTTAGGCGATCCTTGGACTCTCGGAATAATTGCGAGTGGAAATCACCCCTGCAAGTTCAGCGTGTAGGTGAAAGCAAGAATTTAACAAGCAGGGCTCAGCACTTAAAATTAGTCGCTACTACCACCAGCAAGTAAATCGTCACCGGTGTTCGAATGAGTGGAACCCGTGAATGAGATGAGCTTTTTCTATAAGTTTTGGGCATTTTGCTATTTATCCAGTACCAATGTATCGAGTGGCGTTCATCTTTCTCATGACATTTTCTTAATAGCTCAGTAATGGCTTTACCATGCTTTTGAATGTGGAGTAGAAAACACGAAAAAACTACTAAAAAAGCTCGGTGCTAAGTGAGTTGGGAGGGGCCACGCGGCGGCGCGGCGCCTTTTCATGTCTGCGCCCTCTGTA